GAACAGTGAGAGACCGTCTTTCCTATCGCACTGTAGGAAGAGCTGCAGATCATCAACCCAGACCTCAAAGTCAACAGCCCGACCCTCAGCATCAAAGACAAGGACGCTAGGGGTAGCCATGACAGCAGTGGCAGCAGTAACAGCAGTGGCAATAGGAGCAGTAGTGGCAGCAGTGACAGCGCAGTGCGGCGACACTCTTACCAGGGCAGAGAGCCGCAAGTGGTGGGGCAGGGCCGAGGCGCACCGGCAGGGACGGGCCGAGGCGCGCAGGTAGGGCCGAGGCGCACCAGCAGAGGCGGGCCGAGGCGCGCCGGTAGTGCCGAGGCGCACCGGCGGCTGCAGTCAAAGGCGGCGGTGGCTGCGGCCCCGAGGGAGGTGGCGGCGGCTGCTGCTGGTGACGGCTGCGGCAGCTGCGGCTTCTGCTACAGGGACGGTGGCGGCTGCTGCTGCAGGGACGGTGGCGGCTGCTGCTGCAGGGACGGCGGCGGCTATTGCTGCAGGGACGGCGGTGGCCGCTGCTGTAAGGACTGCGGCGGCTGCTGCTGCAGGGGCGGCGACGGCGGGCCACGAAGGGCGGCGACAGGGCCGCGAGAGGCCGCGAGGTGCCGCGAAGGGCGGCGAGAGGGGGGGGGGGCGACGGGCGGCGCGAGGGGCCGTAAGGGGCCGTAAGGGCGCCGCGAGGGGCCGTAAGGGGCCGCGTGAGGGGCCGTAAGGGCGGCGCGAGGGGCCGTAAGGGGCCGCTAAGGGCGGCACGAGGGGCCGTAAGGGGCCGCGCGAGGGGCCGTAAGGGCGGCGCGAGTGGCCGTAAGGGGCCGCTAAGGGCGGCGCGAGGGGCCGACGGGCGGCGCGAGGGGCCGTAAGGGCGGCGCGAGGGGCCGTAAGGGCGGCGCGAGGGGCCGTAAAGGCGGCGCGAGGGGCCGTAAGGGCGGCGCGAGGGGCCGTGAGAGGGGTTGCTAAGGGCGACGCGAAGGGGCCGGGAGAGGGCGCGATGGTAGGGAGGGCATACGGGGCGCGACTCGGGCAGGAGCGAAGCACGCTCCGGGCAGGAAAAAAAATTGTGGTGGGCCCTAGGAAGCGTTCCCACTAGGGAACCTGCTTTGATACCATGAGAAGAAACGAGGAATGATTGACTAGTGCAAGGGTTGGGTACAAGTACAAACCCTATAAATATTGTACCCCATATGTGCAACCCCACTACAGCCTATATAAGCTAAGTCATATAAGTCTGACAAAAGCTCACACTTGGAACCTTTCGTCAGCAGCCGGTGCTCGTCTAAGATTTTAAGTACCGCTTCTAGATCTGTGAAGTGCTGCTGCTTATCGCGACTGTAGACTAGGATATTGTCGGGGTAAACTATCACGCATTTATCTAAATGTGGCCTAAATGTCTCGTTCATGGTCATCTAAAATGTCACCGGTGCGTTGGTCAGCCCGAATGGCATCACGGTGTACTCGAATGACCCGTACCTAGTCATAAAAGCTGCCTTGGCGCAGTCCAATGGTTCGACTCGAATCTGATGGTAACCTCCCCGTAAATTATTTTTGAAAAAACCTGTGCTTTTAGCAGTTGGTCTATCAGTTCGTCTGCGCAGGGAATGGGGTACCGCGACTTGAATGTCACCCTGTTCAGTGCTCTGTAATCGATGCACATGTGAAATCCTCCGTCTCGATGCTGCGAACGGTGACGAACTCAGTCGGATGAACTTCTTCTCTAACAGGTAATCTAATTGCTTCCTCAATTCGTCGAGCTCGGGTTGTGTTAGTCTGAACTGTCGCTGTACGGTTGGGTGTGCCCCCGGTTCTAGCTCTATTCGGTGGTCGTGTGCTCGATGAGGTGGCAGTCCTTCCGGTAAGTGATCGGGAAAAATCCCCGAGTACCGTTTCAACAATTCTTGTAGTTTGGGCGGTACTGCTGCCAGGAGTTTCTGAAAATCGCTCGGCTACTCTGCTTCTCCTACTACTGCGATGTCCACTGTGTACACGTCAGCTCCAGCGGCGACGGCCCGTTTCATTGTGATGGCGTTGACGTGGATCATTGAAGACTCAGGCGACAGCCAGCGAGGTAGCTCAACCCAGTACCACTACTTCGCACAGTGCAGCTACCTGTCGTCCAGTCAATTCGCGGGTTCTACCGTCGCAGCCAATCACATCCTAGTAAAATGTTGTGCCCATCCAATGTCGTCACGAGCATTTCTTATGTAAACCTGAAGTTCCCCCCGCAGGGGACCTTAACTCTCTCCACCTTCTCCCGTATGGCCAGTGGTGTGCCGTCAACTAATCGTGCATCAACCCTCGGTAAACACCGGCTAAGTGACAGTTGCAGTTTCCGTGCGATCGTGGTATTGACTAGACTATGACTTGGTCCCCCGTCGATAAAAATCTTCACTTCTGCTCTCCCTGTATCTTCTCGTAGATCAGTACTGGGCAATCCGTTGGTGTACCCTCCTTATTCGTCCGAGCCCGATCGATGGCGTGAATCGGTACTGTGACTCGGTAAGGGTTGGTGGGGTTGGGCGAGCAGGTAGTGTCGTCAGTAGTTGGCCCAATTCCTACAGACTGCTGGCGTTTCCCTGCCTTGGACACTCCCTCCCCTGCTCTACTCCGCGGCGTCTCAATTCCTCTGGGCACTCACTCTTGCGATGGCCCGGCCTATTGCAAGCAAAGCAGCGCCCCTTAAACGGCGCGGCAGCTGCATTTGTTGCAACGGCATGTACGGTGTCATGCTCGATCGGTCACCGAAGCCGATGTCCGTAGTAGGACCCCGGTCTCGGACGACGTAGAATGTCGATTTTCTCGACAAGCGCGAGAATCTCGTTGAAGTTCGAGAGTCCGCGTAGCATGATTTCGTGCAAGATGTCTGGCTTCAGCCCTCCGACGTAACGGTCTACCCGCTCCGCTTCGTGCATGTAGCCGACTTGCTCGCATAATGCGAGAAAACCACTCGTATAGTCTTGAACCGATCCGAGCTACTACCAAGTACGTAGTCTCTGACGCGCCAAAATAAAAGCAGCGATCGGCTCGAAGCGCGCCCGAAGCCCTGCGCACCACGCGTCACACGTGCTGTACTGGGCGGTTTCGCAGAATGAACTCCAGGTAACGGCTGGGCCCGTGGGCCCTTCCTCTTGCGACAGTGGCTCGTAGGCGTATGGTGACGTCACGATGACTCACCACCTAACCATGGCGGGGCCCCTCAGTAGCGAGACGGCGTATCGGATCTTCGCCGCGTCCGACTCGACGTAGTTCGCGTCAAAAAGGACGTTCATCGTAAAGACCTACGATTGAACCATCGGACCTCCACGCTGGCTCGGGTCGAAACAGGGCGAGCGTTGCGGCTTGAGTGAGAATGGTGCCATGATGGCGTGGTCGCCACTTGTCGCCGCAAATTCCACGTGCCGACGGGCTTCACGAGGCTCCTGCGGGCTTGGCGCGGCCCTGTTCCTCTCCATGCCAGGCATTGATTGAGCGGCGCCATCACTGGCTGTGCCTGAGCGTTGTCCCACGCTGTCGTTTTGTGTCGGTGTGCCTGATGAAACGATGATGGGCTCCTCCGATTGTGTGGGTGCATATGCAGGTGCGTGTGGTGGCGCTGGAGCATTCACCGTGAATTGCTGACGAGCGGAGTCGCGTTCCGCCGTGAGTGTCGCAATTTCGAGCGCCGAGTCTTCGATTTGGCGCATGAGACGGTTGAGTTGCTCCTGTGACAGTGTCACGAGAGTGAATTCGGCCATGACGGGGGTGTCGAGCAAGCTCAGCGAAAACCTCTGTCGTGGCCGTGCGTGCTTACGAGAGAGCACTACGAGCGGCGGTGCTTGTTTCGCTGAGAGATGTCTAACCCCCCCCCCCCCCCCCCCCCCCCCCCCCCCCACCCCCCTAGTGAGAGTACGACGGCTTATGCCAGATACGCTTGCTTGCCTTGATTTTATTACGCTATTTCTAGCATAGGATAATTATATGCATGCATGAATTGCTTGATTTCCTAGTCTAGGTGCTTTCCTAGGTTATATTATAGTTATAGCACCGAGCTAGGTTGCGTGCACCGAATTCTGGCTTTTCGGTTGGCACCGAATTGCCTTCTACCGAATTCTGGAAGGGTCTGTTCGGGACGCTCCACGACCCTCGAAACCTTCGCGTAACACCTAGTTACTGCCCCTGGTGTCGACCCTATATAGCCTCGAGTTGTACCCAGGTAATCATTCAATTACAATTCTCTTTTCTGAGCTCGATCCTAGATCCTCACACTTGGTAATCAGAGCTTGTTTACACGCGAAGTTTTCGACCGCTAAAACCTAGCTTTTAAAACCGCGTGAGCGACGACGGAAAGCGCCGATTTCAGGTACGTAAACCAGTTCCGCGATATTTTCTTACGTCCCCCTCGAACCGGTTTTCGAACACTCCTCAGGTCCAGTTGGAATTTTGAGTTGAATTTTCGACCGTCGGATCGATTCGAATCTCAACGGCCCTGAGGATTTCGCCCAAAAAAGTTGGAATTTGAAGTGTCGGATCAAATTTCTTCTCAACGGCCGAGATCGGATGCGAATATCATTTAAGGGAGAGTTACAGGCCCCGATGCCGCCTCACCCGGCCCCGCCGCCGCTCCACCCGGCCCCGCCGCTCCACCTGGCCCCGTCGCCGCCCCATGCGGCCCCGCCGTCACCACCGAGCACCCGGCGCCGCGGAGCTGCTGCCGAGCCGCCCGAGCCACCCGAGCCGCCCGAGCCGCACGAGCCGCCTCGCCACCTGAGCCGCCTGAGCCGCCCGAGCCGCCGGGTCGCCGAGCTGCCGAGCCGCCGTACAGCCGAGCCGCCCGAGCCGCTAGTGTTGCCGCGTCGCCGAGCCGCCCGCATCGACGAGCCGTAGTTGCTGCCGAGCCGCCGTACCGCCCGAGCTTGCCGAGCCGCCCGCACCGCCGAGCCGCCCGAGCCGCCCTGTCCGGTAAGAGCAGCGCCTCTGTCACTGCACTGCCCTTACCCTACTGTTTGTGCTGCTAGTCTACTGCTGTCATGGCTACCCCTAGTGTCCTCGCTTTTGACGCTGAGGGTCGGGCCATTGACTTTGACGTCTGGATAGATGACCAGCAGCTTTTCCTACAGTGCGATAGGGCAGACGGTCTCTCCCTCTTTGACCTCACTTCTGGTGCCTCTCCTGCCCCTGCTGCTGATGCTGATGCCACTGTTTGCTCACAGTGGGACACATGCGATGCTGCTGCACGTCTTGCTGTGCGTCGCCACCTCCCTACCTAAGAGCGTGCGCACTTTAGCCAGTACAAGAGTGCTCAGACCTTGTACGACGCTGTAGTTGCACGCTACTCCTCCCCTGCCACTGCTGCACTGAGCCGCCTCATGCTACCGTACCTCTTCCCTGATCTTGCTGCCTTTCCCACAGTCATTGACCTCATTACACACCTCCGCACTAGTGACACTCGCTACCGCGCTGCGCTTCCTGCTGAGTTCTGCGCCAAGAACCCCCCCCCCATGTACATCACCCTCTACTACATAGTCACCCGGCTCCCTGACTCTCTCCGCGTAGTCAGGGACCACTTCCTCTCAGTTTGCCCCACCACTCTCACCGTTGACCTCCTCGAGAAGGCCCTCCTAGCAGCAGAGAAGAGCATAGTCGCTGTAGGAGCCTCTCGTGGGGACCCTCGCACCCCCGTCTTTGAGGGGTGTTCTCTCTTCCCCCTATTGCCCTCTGTTGCTTCTGCTGCTTTGGCCGACCTCGTTGGTTTCCAGTCGGTCGGCGCTGCGTCTGCCCCTTCGGGGAAGCGCCGCACAGGCAAGGGCAAGGGGGGCAAGGGCACTGGAGGAGCTGGCGAGGGCGGTGGAGGTGGCGGTGGAGGGGGTGGGGGTGGTGGTGGGAGTGGTGGCGGGGGTGGAAGTGTCGGTGGCGGTAGTGGAGGCGGAGGCGGCGGTGGCGGTGGGAGCGGGGTTGGCGGAGGTGGCGGCGGAGGAGGAGGCGGCGGCGGAGGAGACGGAGCTGGTCGGGGTGGCGCTGCGCAGAGGGTCGGCTCCGGTGGTGGTCAGCACCACCAGCAGCAGCAGCACCAGCGCACTCGTGACCACCCCCCCCCCTCAGCAGCTCCGTGAGTGGTACGATGCACGCCAGCGGGGTGGGGGTACTGGTCCGTGCACCTACGTCCTACGCACCGGCGACCGCGCGGGTGAGCAGTGCGGCGGTGCGCACTTCAGCCAGCGCTGCTTTGGCCGCCTTACGGACACTTGGCGTCGCCAGTTCCCTGAGGCCACTGAGATCCCTCGTTGGGGCAAGTTGTCTAGGGCGGGAGTAGCTATCTTTGACCTTGACTTTGATGCTATTCTTGCTGCCATGTATGTTGTGACTATTAGTGATGAGGGTGACTATTACCGGTGTTGAGACTGCTGCTCTAGGTACTGGTGAGGCTGCTTCTCTAGGTGCTAGCGAGGCTAGTGCTCTAGGTACTAGTGCGTCTGCTTCCTCAGGTGCTGGTGAGTCTGCTCTCTCAAGTACTGCGCCGGCTTCGGCCTCCCTCACCTTCACCCTTGACTCGAGGGCTTCTCGCTCCTTCTTTCGAGACCGCACCACACTCACGCCGCTTGGTCGGCCAGTTGCAGTCTCTCTGGCAGACCCCTCTGGGGGTCCTGTCCTTGCTCACTTCTCCACTGTCCTCCCCTGTCCGGCGGCTCCCTCTGGCACCCTGTCTGGTCTTTACCTCCCCTCGTTCTCTACGAACTTGGTGAGTGGTGCTGACCTACAGGATGGGGGAGTGCACCACTTCACTCCTGCGAGCCAGCGGGTGACGCAGTGCACGGACGCTCGGACGGGCCGACACTTGGCCACGTTTACAAGTCGACCGAGGTCGAGCCTGTACACACTCACCACTGAGTCTCCTCCAGTCACTGCGTCTGGTCAGGTAGCTGCGTCGGATCAGGTGTTTGGTGCAGCGTCCAGGTCTGGTCCTGAGTCTGCCCCCTGCTCGTATCGCCTCTTGTCTCACGAGACTCTCCTTTGGCACCACCGCCTTGGTCACCCCTCCCTGCCTCGTCTCCGAGGCATGGCGTCTCGTGTCCTTGTCTCGGGTCTGGCCGGTCCCTCCCTCCCCTTCCCCCGGGGCCTGCCCCAGCCTGCGTCCCCTGCGTCGAGGGGTGGCAGCGTGCTGCCCCTCACGCCTCCCAGTTTCCTCCGACAGAGGCCCTGCTGCAGACGCTTCACATGTACGTGTGGGGCCCAGCCCGTGTCCGTGGAAAGGGTCACAAGCGCTACTTCCTGGTGGTGGTTGACGACTACTCACGTTACAACACAGTCTTCCCCTTGCGCAGCAAGGGTGATGTCACTGAGGTGCTGATCGACTGGAGTTGGGCCTGCTCGTGTCGCGTCTGGCGGTACTGTGCCTGGAGGTTCTCCGGGTGCTTCGTCTCGACAGGAGCCCCTCTCTCCATAGGAGCTGCGGGAGTGGTTTGCCCGGTGCTGGAGTCGTGCTGCTGGAGCTGGAGGTTCTTCGGCTACTGAGGGTGCTACTGTCGCGTGTCCCGGAGGTGCTCGTACTGGGAGTACTGGAGCTGCTGGGCCTGCGAGTACGCCTGGAGCTGGAGCTGCTGAGGGTGTTGCTGATGGGGGCGCTGAGACTACTGCTGGCGGTCCTACTTGGGGTACTACTGGTGCTGCTGGAGGTCCTGGAGCTACAAGAGCTGCTAGGGGTACTGGAGCTGGGGGTGCTGCTGGCGCTGGTGCTACCACTGGGGGTACTGGTGCTGTCCCTGCTGTGTCTGGAGTCGCCGCGCGGCCTCGAACGTACTTCGTTCCACTCCTTCAGCAGGTTCTTGGTCTCCCGCCTTCTACTAGTCCTCCTCCTCCCTTAGAGTGTCCACAGCCTGTCCCGTCACAGTTACAGCTACAGCCCGCCTCCCCTCTGCCTGCACCTTCTCCCTACACTGGTCCTACTGGAGGTCTTGCATAGCGTCGTGAGCCTGCGTCTCGCCCTGCGTCGCTTGTCCGTCCTGCTCGCGCTAATGGTCGTGGTTCGCGTCAGCGTCCTCCTCCTGTCCCTGGCACGCACCGGATGTCTCTGCGTCCGTCCACTGCTCCTCTGCGTGCCCCTTTGCCTTCTCCTCCTGAGTCCTCTCTTCCTGCTCTTGCCGACCCGGAGTCAGACTCTCTTCGTGCTGCCAGTCCTACTGTCACGCGTCTCCTTGCTACTGTCATCACTGACCCTTCCTTTTTAGTCCACTGCCACGTCTGCCCTAGTTGCTGAGCTCGTCGACTTTGCTGCTCGCTGTCGTCTAGACTACACTACTAGTCTTGTCGCTGAGTCTGAGTCTGTCTGTCCTCCGTCCGTCGGGGTTGAGTGTGCCCTTGGCACGGACGTCCTTGAGGACAGGCATGAGGAGTTCCAGTGCTTTGCTTCTGCTTCACCTCATCTCGTGTCCATGCTGCTGGCCCCTAAGGGAGACCCGGATGCACTTGACATCCCGACTCCGCGCTCTTACGCAGAGGCGATAGAGGGTCCCTACTCCTCTCAGTGGCAGGCAGCTATGGACACAGAGATGGCCCTACATTGACGAGGTTCCCCCGCCTAGGGCGAACATCGTCAGTGGCATGTGGATTTTCAGGGTGAAGCGGCCGCCGGGTTCTCCGCCTGTCTTCAAGGCGCGTTACCTGGCTCGTGGCTTCAGTCAGCGGCAGGGAGTTGACTACTTTCAGACCTTCTCTCCCACCCCGAAGATGACCACTCTTTGGGTACTGCTGCTCATAGCTGCTCACCGTGATTACGAGCTGCACTCTCTTGACTTCAGCACTGCTTTCTTGCAGGGCAGCCTGCACGAGGAGATCTGGCTGCGTCGCCCACCTGGATTCACTGGGTCTTTTCCTCCTGGCACCCAGTGGAGCCTCTGGCGGCCAGTCTACGGTCTCCGCCAGGCACCGCGTGAGTGGCACGACACACTGAGGACTACGTTTGCGGCTCTTGGGTTTGCTCCCTCTACTGCCGACCCGTCGCTGTTTCTGCGCACCGACACCTCGCTGCCGCCGTTCTACATCCTCGTGTACGTCGAAGACTTGGTCTTTGCCACAGCTGACACTACTGGACTCGCCCACGTGAAGTCCGAGCTGCAGAAGAGACACACGTGCACAGACCTGGGTGAACTGCGTAGCTACCTTGGCTTGCAGATCACCCGGGACAGAGCACGCCGCACCATTACCCTGACTCTATCACACATGGTGCTGCAGGTCCTTCAGCGCTTCGGCTTCACATACTCCTCGCCTCAGGCCACTCCTCTGCCTACTCTCCACTCGCTCTCAGCTCCGCCTTCGGATGAGTCCGTAGAGTCGAGTGGCCCGTACCCAGAGCTTGTTGGCTACCTCATGTACCTGATGACCTGCACACGACCTGACCTTGTATACCCTCTTAGCATTCTCGCACGCTATGTTGCTCCTGGGAGACACAGACCGGAGCACATGGCTGCATCGAAGAGGGTGTTATGCTACTTGTGCAGTACGTCGGGCATGGGGCTTGTGCTTGGAGGGCGGAGTCCGGTGGTCCTCACTGGTCACGCAGACGCCTCTTGGGCTGACGACCAGGCTACTCAACGGTCGTCACAGGGTTACACCTTCAGCCTTGGCTCCGGCTGAGTTTCGTGGCGGGCTACCCGCTCGTCCTCTGTTCTCGGCTCCAGTTGTGAGACTGAGATCTACGCAGGAGCCATGGCTGCACAGAAGCTTCGCTGGCTCACCTACCTGCTGACTGACCTCGGAGAGCCGCTTGTTCTCCTCCAGTACTGTACGTAGACAACAAGGCCATGCTGGCCTTGTGTCGAGAGCAGAGACTGGAACACAGAACAAAGCACATTGCTCTCCGCTTCTTCCTTGCTCGTGAGCTACATCAGCGTGGTCAGCTGCGGCTTGCGTACGTGGCCTCTGAGGCCAACACTGCTGATATCTTCACCAAGGCACTTGCGCCTTGTGATCATCAGCGCTTCTGTACTTAGCTGGGTCTTGTGCCTACCTTGCCTCACTTGCTCACCCCTTGACCTTGTTTGTACTGTTACATATATATATACACCTGCTCTTGCTTGTCTAGCCTTATATATATATGTAATCCTGCACGTGAACTGGCCATGTGGCCTTGAACTTGTGCTCGGAATGTGTGGTGACTTTGTGATCCACCCTGAGCTTGCTTTGCTTTGCTTTGCTTGAATGGTCTTGTGACCCCTTGTTCTCCCCCACTTTGCCTATGGGGGTGTGTCAGATTTATGACATAGCTACTGTAGGCTATAGTGGGGTAGCTCATATGGGGTACAGATTTCTAGGGTTTGTACTTGTACCCAACTTTCACTTAGTCATTTCATTCCCGTTTCTTCTCATAACATAGTACACGCAGCAGATGGAGAGCCTCTTGAACCGAATTACCAACGTGACCGAAGGGGAAAAAATCCAAGCGTATACTGAGGGGCTACAGATGAAAGTCCACCAACAAGTGATTGCCGCGATCAACAACTACCGCGGCAGAGAGATTCGATGCGTTGATGCGAGATCAGCCCGAAACACGACGACGCGTGCTGAACAGATCATTCGGCACGGAGCAATCGGCACCACCCACGACCGCCGACCCGATGGATATCGACAAGATCGACGCGAAGCAGCGGCCGACAAAATATGAGAACTGCGAATTTTGTGGCGCAGCAGGACATCGATTCTTGGCGTGTTTGAAAATGAAGAAGGCATGAGCAGAGCTGAAGGGCAACAACATTGCGGCACCCCCGAAGTCAAAAGACACGGCGACTTCGGAGCGGGTGAAAAAAGGAGGACACGATGGCGCGAATTTAAAACGCCACGACCGGCCGGCAACAGGGGAAATCGCCGAGACAAATGGAGGCTCCGCGAAACAAGACTCTGCACCGACCGGGAAACTCCAGCCGAACACCCTCGAGAGTAAGAATATTTCCTCTCGAGGTATTCAAGCCTTTGAGAAATTCAGGGGAGATTTCAAGGCCAAGAAAAAGCCTTCAGATATTATTCAGGTACCTGAGAAGTTGGGCAAACCACTCCGGAGCGTTGAAAAGGGTCATGCGTTCCAAGGAGTTAATATTCTCTCCCCGCACCACAGTGTTAGGCTCCCAATTGCCCATAGGTGAAGCCTACACAGCTGCAAATGCTTAGGGGAAGGTTCCAAGCCCAGACGAAGCTCAATCGGCCTCTGATAAATCCTTTTAACCCAACTCAGTTGAAAAGTGATATGGAGTCAGCAGCTTCGAGCGTAGGACCGAGAAATGATCTATTCGACGTACCCTACGACCCTATAAGCGAGACCATCTACGGTTACACGGAGCAGCAACAACCACTACTACTCGAGGTGATCTGCAACGGGCGACGCCTCCCGGCACTGGTGGACAGTGGTGCGTCCCACTCGGTGTGCGACCACGGGGCATTGGAAAATATTGGACAACCTTCGGAGGAGACCAAGTTCACAGCAACGATGGTGGACGGTACGAAACTTCCCATCCACGGCGAAGCATCACTGCAGCTGCACATAGGGGCGCTGAGGTGGAAGCCGACATTGCTGATCACGAACATCAAGGGTTCAGATTTCATCTTGGGGCTGCGGAGATACACTCTACAACGGTTGTGAGCTGGACTACAGGGCTGGCACGAACTACTAAAGGTGATCGTAGCTTTGCTTGGTTCCTTAGTGCTTGCACATTCACGAGAGAAATTGGCAAGAGTTTCCACTAGCAAAGTTAAGAATCCAGAACAATACAAGAAGCAATGACAACAATGACTACACCAGGCACCTAGCAACCCTGCAGCTAGCCTGGTCGACCGCCAGCGCAGCTCGGCCGACCGCCTGCCAGCATTGCGTAGAGGAGCCGCGCCAGCACTGCAGAAGGGCGACCTGCCAACAAAGCAGGTCGACGGCGTGCCCCGTAGAACACAGCAGTGCGCGCGCTCGCAGGTGTGCGCAGACGATTGGCCCGACTTGCCTCGTTGGGCATCCGTCGGCTGTTGTCTGCGCCTGACGAGCCACATCAACTTCGGGATACCAGTCCGAAGTCGCCTGCGCCATCACGATCTTGACGACGTTCGCGAGCCTTCGCAGAACTCGTCGAGCAGGTTACTCGGTCGACCTGGTCGACCCCTGGTGCTCTGGTCGACCCCCAAGTGCCTCCGGTCAACCACTGGGTCCCTCTAGTCGACCACCAGGCGCTCCTGGTCGACCACAACTCCCGTCGAGCTACCCTCTGGTCGACGGACCCCTTCCGTCGACCAGAACTGCTCTGTCGACCTC